TTTCCCATCACTTGTTCATGTAAAAGGTTTATAACTATACTGTAGAAAAATGTCTGTACACACTTGCAGATCAGTGTGTTGATCTTTAAATTCCCCACCCAAACCATGCATGTTGTAAAGTGAAACATGTGAAGTGTATTTAGGGCCAGGCTGCTGTCCTATTAGCTGGCAAAACCAGGAAGGACAAATTTACACTTACAGACCATAAAAACACACAAGGCCATGGAAACCACCTCTTGGTGCAGATGTAAGGGGAAATTGGGATTCAGCTGACATATTTTTGCAATGTTTGCAGGATGGCATTTGCCAATGTAAACCTGACTTGCAAAGATACAGTGTCTTTCACTGTGAATTTTTTATTCACTGCCTATTCACAGGTTTATTTTTGCTATAAATGGCCCCTTTATTAGAAATGGTCTCCCTTTACCTTTTAATCTTGGACTATTTGAACTACTCAACCAAATTTTCCGTTCTGTAATGCATTACTGCGGATGAAGAAAATAAATATAGGCAAATATTATAATTCCAGGAATACTGGAATATTATTCCTTCTAATGAACTAGTTCCTTTTAAAACGTGCAGAGATTTTCAATATTGATACATATAAGGTTGTGCTTTAAAGTTCAAATGCAGAAACTCTGTGCTTACACTTCTAAACTTGGAAAAGAATTAAACTTCTTTTAAAGCTTAATCTGGCATGAAATAAAGATAGAAACAAGACCATGTGGGAGATATTTGCTGGTGAACCTCATAGTCAACACAGGAAGAAAAATAGGAAGCCCTATTCACTGGAAAAACTAGATGCTCCAGGTGCCTTCAGCTGCTTGTCTTGCTGTATCGACATTCCCTTTTCTTTCAGGAAACCTTGGCAAGAACGGAGATCTGGCTAGCAGAAGCATAAACAGACTCTAAATTACCCTAAATGGAATGCTCTAATATGCCACAGAACAATTCTTTCCTTATCAAAATATTAAATCCTTCATGGCCTCACCTACTTCATGTTGGCAGCAACATAATAGAGGAAAAAGTGGATAATACAGGAAATATGATAATCTCAGAGTCTGAATTTCTCATCTCTTGCACCAAGGAAATAACTGTCAGTTCTGTGGCTGCAAAGAATCATGCAGTTAGGAATGTAAAGTCTAAAATAACTTGTATGTAATTCTGCTTTTCTGTTTGCTATAGATTTCTTAGTAACCTGCACAGTTCTCTGCACTGGACTCTCCCTTTTCAGAGTGGTGAAAGCAGTAAGTAAATATGTGGACATGTAATGTCTTAAAAAAATGTTGCTAGTCATTCATGAAAATTGCCACATACAAATTTTTCAGCATTAGGATGGAGAATATTGGTTCAGGCCCAGTTTCCCCAGTATATACTTTTTAAGGTGTTTGGGGAAGACATATTTTCTGAAAAAATAAAAAAAAATCATGTAGAACAAAAAAGCATATCTAGATATAGAAAACAGAGGAATAGTTGCTTGGGATCTCACCAGGATTAAGTATTATACTAACCATGTTTCAAAATGTCATTTCTTGTTTGACAAAAGGAATGTCAGAGACTACATTGCTTCTGAACTACTGTTGTGTGAGTTCAAAGAGGAACTATTAAGCCCTGGATCTGTGCCTGAGCTTTTTATTCCTCGTGCTATCAAAGGGTGTGATCATTAATCCCAGTTAAACAAGAAGTCAGCATGTTCCACAGAATAAAAGGATGAGCCAGGATTCAGGAGAGAGATGTCCTGCTCCTGCTTCTGTTGATGAGGTGTTATGTCACTTTTATGAAGCTCATGTTGGCTGAGCTTCTCCTACTTTTTGCTCAACAATTTAAAATTAGCTTGGGGGCCATAACTATGCCTGTCTATAGATTTTTCAGTGTGTTTAGCCAATGCAGCAAGCATCATGGGCAATGCATTTTTACAGAATAGAGTATTTATATGAGTGCATTTATATGTATTACAGTTATATATTCAACATCTTTTCATTGTAAATTCAATTATTGGGAGCTTCTACACAAAGTTAAACAATGTTACGTTTGCTTATATCATTCAAGGAGATCAAATTCCACTGATCTTGGACAAATCTTAGCTCATGCCACTATCTCCATCTGAGTGCTTCAGCCCTTTTCTTTGAAGCTGAGTCCATAAACAAATGAGTTGGTTTGTGCAGAGGCCAATATCCACATCCATCTTTATCCTTTTTTGTAAGGTCAATATCCACATTTCTCATTGGAGTTTAATGTGAGGGCTCAGTCCCATGCTCCGTTTCCTTCTGGAGAAGCAAACTCCTTTGTTACTTAGATACCTCACCATTAAAGAAGTCCCAGAAATCTTCAGTGGAATCTAATCTGTTGATTCTCTAATCTATGCCTGACAGATACTAAGGAAGAAACGGGATATTTGCACAAAAACTACTCAGCAGATGTATGGGAATAAAGAAATGTCAATTATTCAGTAAAGGTACCTGCTACGCCTAATTTTGCAGAGGGATATGGAAATAATTGAAAGGTTAAAAGGAAGGACAACAGATATATGGCAAAGCCATGAAAAGTATTTATTGCAAGACAGGAACTCACAGGTCTGATAAAGTTGCCCCTCATAAGCATGAAATTCTAGAACAGATATCCCACAGGAAGGTGACTGCAGGAAAGGACTTAATAGAGAGCATGAATGAATGAAATACTGTATTTCAAGGACTAAGGGAATGAAACCAGCCTCCTAGGACTGTTTGGTTCATTTCCAAACTATAAGACTCCTTTTTAGAAGAAAATGAATTTCCAGTCAGATGGACCAGAACAGATGATGATTTAGGGTAATGTTTGTTTTTTTCCCATGTGGTTGAACAATGATTCAAAGAAATCTACATTAATAGAAGCAGCTGGTGTGTGTTTTAGAAGTGAGTAGATTATAAAACTTAACAACTTAATAAAGCCAGTTTGCTATGGGAGATGGGTATGCATATACAACATGATACCTCATGTGACTAAAATGCATGTTAAAAATTTCCGAGTTCTCTCTTTGTACTGATGTCAGGTAGTCAATATATGAAAAATGTCTGTTTGGGTTTTTTCCTCAATAAACTGCATCATGTTGTAATTTGGGTAGTATGATACTGCAAAAGGAAATCTGTGTTTCTTCTCTGCTCTTGAAAAAACCCAACCCAGTAAACTCTACTTCTTTTTGCCCTATTTTCTTTTCACCTTGCATGCAGCTCATGAACCAGTACTCTCTTGCTTCATTAATGAAGTTTCATCTCAGTCCTTCTTTTTTCATCTCACACTCACACTGATGATAATTTCTGCTCCCCTGTCAGTGCTGCACAGGAATCACAGGTACTGCTGCTGAGTTGGGGATCACTGAAGCACAATGAGCTCCACACTGAGATCAAACCTTGTGGATCAACAGCACAGGCTCAAGATGCTATCACCTTGGGATACCAGAATTCAGGGAGGTCTGGTCTTTGATTTTAAGTGGACTAGGATGGTAAGCAAAGGGGACTTCTTACCATTTTAGCAATGCTATTTGACTGCCTCTGCTACGTGTTCTGATTGCTGTCACGGATTGCAGACTGTCAGTACTACATTCCCATTTCCCTTCCTGTCACTGATGCAAGTTTTTGGGCCACTGCCTAGAAGAGATCTCTATAACAGAGGTCCCTTCTGTCCTTTTTTCCCCTGACAGAATGAATATTCTCCAGTTCCATACACGGCTGTTTTCAAAGGAGAATGAAGAGTCCTTTCATAACCTTGAACTGAGGCATCTTCATCTTGGGGACAGAATTTCCTCAAACCTTCAATCTTTCAATAATTTGCAGTAGGAATTGATGCCACACTTCTTCCTTTAGGACAGAAAGGGCAGAAGTGGGCTCCCTTCCTTATTCAGTGGCTTCCATTATCCTCACTGAGGGTTTCCATTCCTCCACAGAAGGGACATAGTGCTCAGTAGTGAGGAGTAAACACAGAATGGCTGATGTTGGAAGGAACTTCTGGACATCATCTTGTCTAAATGACCTGTTCAAGCAGGGCTGCCCACAACAAGGACTGTGCTCACATTAATACCCCCATGGATGAAGACTCCTCAACCTCCTGGGGCAACCTGTGCCAGGGCTTAGTCATTCTCACATTAAAAATTGTTCCCTCTTGTTCAAAAAAAACCTCACATGTTTCAATTTGTGCCCATCACCACTTTGGGCCCCACTGAAAAGAGCCTGGCTCCACTCTCTTTGCATTTTCCCTTTGGGTATTTGTACACATTCGTGAGATCCCATTGAGCCTGCCCTTCTCTAAGCTGAACAGTCCCAGCTTTCTCAGCCTTTCCTCATAGGTGATCCAGCACCTTAACCATGGTTATGACCATTTGTTGGACTCTCTCCAGTACGTTCATGTCTGTCTGTACTGGAGCAGCCCAGTTCTGAACCCAGCACCCCAGCTGTGTCCTCACCAGTGCTGAGCAGAGGGGCAGGATGACCTCCCTCGACTTGTTGGAATTGCTTTGCCTAATGCAGCCCAAGGTATCGTTCACCTTCTCTGCATCAAGGGCACACTGCTCGCTCGTTGTCTGACCTGATGCCCACCAGGAGCCACAGTGGGTGGGACCCATGCACCCAATGCCAAACTGCATTCCGGTCGATAGTCCCCCGTTCTGGATTGCTGCTCCCCAGCGGCCGGGCTCTGCCCCTCGCCTTGTTAAAGCCGCTCTCCCTGGATGTCCCGGGTGCTCAGCGCGCCTGTGCCCGGCTGGAGGGGCAGCGGGAGCTGTGGAGACGCGCACCCAGCCGGGCTAGGGGAGCGGCCTGCGGGGCACGGCGAGGAGGGCGCAGGGAGGCTCAGGAGCAGCGTCCCGCCGGGCACGCCCGCTGCCGCCTCACCCACCGCTGGCTCTCTGTGCGGCGCCGTGCGCGGGACAGCGAGCGGCTCCCGGCGCTGCCCGGCCCGGCCCGGCCCGGCCCCGGCGCTGCCGCCGCCCGCGGGCGGGGGCGGAGGGCGGAGGGCGGGGGGAGGTCCGGGCGCGGAGCCGAGCGCCGCCAGCCCGGCTCGCCCCGCACACGCTCGCACTCCGCGCCGCCCGCCCATGGCTGATAGGAGCCTCATCGAGGGCGCCGAGCCCCTGCCGCGCCGGGAGGAGCCTCCCGAGTGGGGCTACGAGGAAGGTGAGGCGCGGGCGGCGACTCCGCCGGGGAGAAACTTTGTCCGCTGGCGGGGGAAGAGGAGGCGGTGTGGGGATTTCAGTGACCGGGGCACGGCGGGGTTCGCTCCCGGCCGTCCCGAGGCGCTGGGAGCGGGGAAGCGCCGTCCCGTCCATCCCCGCCGGCGGCAGGGCAGCGCGGAGCCGCGGGGTCCGGCCGAGCAGCCCTTCCCGGCCGGGGACAGCGCCTGTGTGACCCGCAGCGCGGCGTGCCGGGTCCCCCTGACCGCTTTTCCCTTGTGCCTCAGGAGTGGAGTGGGGACTGATTTTCCCCGATGCTAACGGGGAGTACCAGTCGCCTATTAACTTGAACTCAAGAGAAGCTAAATACGACCCCTCGCTCCTGGAAGTGCGTTTGTCGCCGAACTACGTGGTGTGTCGTGACTGCGAAGTGATCAACGACGGGCATTCCATTCAGATTGCCCTGAAGTCAAAATCAGGTATGCTGAAACATGGCCTTGATTTTCCCGGCTAAAGCTTGTGTTGCCTGAAGAGTCACTGCACTCGTGTCCCGGAGTGTAGGAAAAGCAGCCTTCCCCAGCTGGGAGCACTTGTGCCCATTCCGCATGGACTATGCCCGGTGAGAGTGTTGCTGTTGACTTTGGTTAGGAAGAGGAGCAAGTGTTGCAATGGGAGTTGCAGATTTTGATGCCAGGCTGGATGGTCAGTGAGATTGCTTCAAAGCATATCCAAAATTTCCTCTTGTGGTGGTATCCAATCCACTGGCATTAACAGCTGTCTGCACTCAGAATATTGCTAAAACAGTGTAGTGCCAAACTGTTCTGTACAGCTGGCAAGATTTGTTCATGCTTCAAAGACCATGTAAGTTAAAAGTGCTTTCTCCCATTAACTTGAGTGGATTCTGAATGCTACCTGCAGAATTGGACAGCTTAAGATAGATACACCAGTCATATGTACTCACGATATTGATGAGGACCAAGTAGGAGGCAGTCATCATTTCTTAAAGGACGACATTTTTGGTGTCACTCATCAAATCCGATTTAGAAGAAAATAATAATTCCAGCATAAGTGAAGTTGCAATATCTCATCGAGACCTTTTGTCTGGGTAAACTGTTCTGAATGAAGGAGGCAAGAAAGTAGGGAAGAAAAAAAGTCCACTTTGCTTTCTAGCACTGCAATAGTTCTTGCCATGTTTTTGGAAGAGCCTCCATGTTATTCCAACCAGTCTTAGCTAGTTACAGCCCTTTGGGGGCATTTAAACAGCTGGACATTGTCAAACCATGAGACATTCCAACTTCTGTTTCCTTCTGAGAACTCAGTAGTATTGGGAACTGCAGCTATGCTAAGTGAGGGAGTCAGTTCAGTTTTACACAGTTTTTTAAAAAGGAAGGGTTAATAATGATCATCATCTTAATAATGATGCTTTGATTTATAATTTCATTTCTATGATATTTTTGATGTATTTTTGCAGCACAGAACGTTTCTTTCAATGGAATTTTGCAGATTTGCAATAAAAATGTTTTACTTCCAGTCAGTTTTACTGCCTTCATCAGAAGCCGAGCTCTTTTCCCAAGGGATAAGGTTGTCCCTGAAGGATCAGGAATTCTTGAATTCTCCTGTGGAGGAAATGAGAGTGACCACAAGTGACCTCATAATTCTTATGCCAAAATGCAAGTCCTTCCATGCTACCTTTCCCAAGGGCAGTTTCTAACTTAGTGGTGATTAATAAGATGGAACCAACACACCTGAATGCCTTTGCAAAACCATTGAGAGAATTAGAAAAAAGGAAAGACTTCTTTTATACTTGAATGAAATGTGATGCCAGACAGATGAGTCTTGAATTATAAGAAAATGTGAAATAGAGAAAAAGTTTATGACTGAAGTATGGATTTACGATTTAGGAACTCTTGGTTTAGTTTCAGCTTTTTCTTAAATTTAATGTTACATAATTTGCCATTTTCCCTTTGTAAACTGGCAATAATTTGGGAGGGAGAGGACAACATTTATTAAACCTACCAAGAGGAGAAAAGCGTTAATAAGTTGTGATTGAACCTGGCCTAGCATTCTGGCCATTTTTCAGGGATTGCAGAAACTCCTGCAGTTTCTTTTCCTCACAGGAGATCTCTGATGACAAATCCATTTGGCCGATTATTTTGTTGAGAACTATTGAGCACTAGATACTTTTGAAGCACTGTCCAATTAATGTGCAAGAAATCCTCATCTGCTGTAATGTTAGCAAAGAAAAAGTTCTTTATGGAAAAAAGTAAACTGAGTAAGATACATATTAAAAATAAATTTGTCATTACTTGTGAATGTTTTTATCCTTAAATTCAAGACACGCAGTCCATATGGAGTTCCCAAATCCTTCTCATTATTTAACTGCAAACATTTTCACAGCTGCTTTCATTTTGATAGTGGAATATGTGTTGTGCGTTAGGTGGAAGAACCATGAACAAATATGAAATAGTTTTATCATGGGATCCATCTTTTAACTGAAGCCTTGGAAATAAACTCTTCGAAGCTCTTGGAGATCCTGAACTACATAATATAGAGAACATTTGTTCTAGTTACAGTTTTTCTCAGAGCAATGTTTTAAAACAGAAAAAATACTCAATTTTCCTAATTGAGATGATGATGATTACATTGTCCTAATTAAGCACTAATTGAGTATCATTATTCTTTTTGTTTGTCCAGATTTCTTAAATACTTCAATTGGTTGTTTCCTCGAGTGTTCACTGGATTTGTAGGTTTTCCCTCTAGGGGATATAGCTATAGACAGAATATAGATAAAGCAAGGTTAAGGAGCAAATCTGAGTCTCTAACTATATTTAGGACATTTCATTTTAGAAATAGCTGTTAGATAAGTTGTGAAGAATTATTAAAGGAACATTAACTGGAATATCTGACTTTTTTTTCCTCCAGCTTGGGAAAAACATAATTGATCTGTTTTCTTTCATTTTTTTACAGTTTCGTACCTTTGGTTTTGTGTTTGTACAGTTGTAATATGATTCAGTTGCTAACTTATGTTTTAGTATTACACCACGTCTTATGCTTCAAGCTCAGATGGTATAGTTTGTGTGTCAAAATAGCTATATATTATGGAACTAATTCCCTAAGGCTATATTTCATGCAGTTAAATAATCCTTATCAATTATCAGAGATTGTAAAAGATTAATTTCAAGGCTATGAAATATAAGCTAGAATTTAATGGGTTCTGGGGAAGACTGTGAATGCCCTTAAAGAAAACTCAGCCCTGCCTAGAAGCCAATATTCAATGATTTTAGTTGGAAGTTACCTCCAGCTTGTGGTGTAATATTTGATCTAAAGCAGATTCAGAAATCCCTGGGCAAAATGTTTCCATTGATTAATTCCGTAACAGGTTGGGCCTCACAATTGCTTGCTTTTACTACTTCTGGTGGAAGTCTCTATTAGTGCCAAAGTACTGAGCAGCTCTATACATTTTTTTGTGCATGTGTTGTGATTGTGGACAGACGCTTTTAAGAAATTCCAGATGTTTAAAAAACTGAATTAAGAAAAACCCATGGCTGCCTAGAAGCTGTTTTTAAGTAAATGAGGTATGCTGGTTTTGCTCCAGTGTGTAGGTTTGAGTATATTTTGGTGTGGAGATGTTCAGTATCTCAGAAGCCTGGCAGGTGGTATATGAGTGAGTGCCTTTACCCAGCAAAATATTTGCTATCTAAATTTTTCTGTCCATTTTTGTGACCCATAGTAAATATAGGTGATGAAAATTAAACATATGGACAACTTGGAGGTTACTTCCCAGTTCAGTTCAGAACCTCTGCCATCTGTTTGGAGCGCACAGTTAATGTCTTGATAAGACAAATAAACATTCCCTCTTCTGACTGGTAGAGGTACAATGCTTTTATTTGGAGTTCTGCATCATAAAACAAAGAGTTCAGTATGACAGCAGTTTTACTGTTTTTCATAACTGCCTCAATTCATGTTCTGTACCTGCAAGGTTCTTCAGAAGTAAAGGTGACAAGTCTGTCAACTTGACTGTTCTCCTCTCTGATACCACTTCTATATATAATAATATAGAAGATTGCTGCAGACTCCTTGTTGTATTTGGAGAATATATTCAGTGGCTTGTCTGCTTTGAAAGGCAAGTTCTTTACCACTTATCTTCTTTCCCAGTGTTAATAGGGGGGCCATTACCTCGGGGACACGAGTTTGAACTGCACGATGTTCGGTTTCACTGGGGGAGAGAAAACCAGCGTGGTTCTGAGCACACAGTTAATTTTAAGGCCTTTCCCATGGAGGTAAGAGTGCTCTGCATTGTATAACACCTGTGAAATGCAACAGATTTTATTTCATTGCCTGAATTCTTGGTAGCCCGAAAGCGACTTCCTTTTAGCTCTGCATGCTTTATATTTCAACCACAAAGCTGTCTTCCTGGGGTGTGTTTTAGTGCAGGTAAATTAGGATATGCATCTGGAATAGAATGCCTCCAGCACTCATCACACTGTATGATTAATTGGTCGTAAAGTTAACTTGCAGAATTATTAACTTCTTTCTTATTAGTGTTCTAACAAGATCTGCCATTTCAACACTTCCTGTGTCACCTTGACTAATAGCTATAGATGGGGAGAACTAGCCACTGGAAATATTTCCATGGTGAGTAATAACAATTGAGGTTGATTTGGAGTAAGTGTAGAGCAATTTGTTTTTGAAACAGCTTTACATACTTGAAAATTGAAGATTATGTGATAGTCCTCTGTATGTTCTCCAAGATCTGAAAACATACATGATTTTGAAATAAAAGCAAAGTGATAATGCAGTCTTAAAAAATTCAGCTCCTCATGGGGTTCCTGTCATAGGCAACACAAAATGCTTGGTCCTGTTTCTCCTGCCCTCCAGCAGTGGTTTGTTTTCACTTCCCACTGTACCATTGCTTACATCTGTCAAGGAATGGCTTGGAGTATTCCTTAGCCCCTGGGCTGCAAGACTACTTTTAAAATATACCATCCCTGATGTTTGGTGACTTCAGTTTTGTATCTTTTATCTTTTATTTCATTTGTTGTGCACTATTTGTTTTAAAGAAACTCAAGGTTTTATGGAATTCTTTATTTATTTTTGCCTTATTTATCTATCATAATCCCTCATGAGTCTGAAACTGTTTCTTTTATTCACTGTGCTCAGTGCTAGGAAATTTATTATTGTAGTGTTCATGAGTGCCTGGCTACTGGAATAGAACTGTCTTATGGAAAAGAATGTTAAGATATTAAAGAATATTGAAGGACCTACTGCAGAAATAAGTGTAAAAATCCTTTGAACTTATATCATCCATCTAGTTTTTAGGGTTGTTTAAATATTTCTTCAAGAGTCGTGGGTCAGGTTCTGGTCTCTGCTTTTTGCTATTTTGCACTGGTCTATCACAACCTGCCATATATAAACTTAGTCATTTGGAGTTTTCAGTTTGAATTGAGTCAGATCATAGAATCACTTATGTTGGAGAAGGCCTTTATGATCAGCAAGTCCAGTCATAAACCAATACTGCCAAAGTCCTCCCCTAAACCACGTCCCTAAGTACCACATCTACGTGGAGGTCTCCTCTGCAGGTTGATTCCAGGCAGTTCTTGGAAATGCAAAATTGTTTGAATGGATAAGACTCATCAACCAAAGGGAAAACAAGGCAATGACTTCTGCATCCTGATTACCTGGCACAATAGATCCAATGTGATTTATATGGGCAGTAAGACCTTCAGGATACTGCAGTGTTCCCCTGAGGCAGGAAGCAGCCAATTCATTATGAAATAGCTCTGCTTAGTGCTTTTCTTCAAGGCTGGTCCAGTATGTGGGGATTGAGAAATACTCATATGAACTGTGCTGAGAGCTGTTCTTGGGAATCTATTAGGATTTCCTGTCTCTTTGTTAATTAAAGATCACTTGCAAGCAGTCTTGGTGGTATGTGGGAACAGTCTATTGGTAATCTGCAGAAAACCTAAAATTATCTACTCCAGATCAATCCAGAGAAAAATATGCTTGACCCAGAGATACAAAACAACAAACTTAATAAGTCATGAAGGGATTTCATTCTTCACCTACTTTAAAAGCAGTGCAGCAGCTGCACAGAGTTCTGGCACAGTTGAAGAACATCACCTGGAGGTGAGCAAGCCACTGTTTTTCTGTTTCCTGCATCTAAGCAGCTTTCAACTAAACTCTAACTTCCAAGAAATAATTACTGATGCAGAAATTCTCTAGCAGAAAAAAGTCTGACCCCTAATACCCTTTAAGTACAGTGTGAATGTTTCATTTTGGAAACAGATAAACTTCTTATGGGAGAAGATGGTCAGTTCATCATTTTCTGCCTTAAGGTGCAAGAAAGTACAGAGCAGGTTTTTTTGACAGGTTTTTTTGACAGATGAGCTGCATTTCCTTCTGCTATATGCACAAAGAGCTGTTATATTAATTCCCTCTCAAATTGTCCAAGTCAAATATTATACTTGAGCAATAATAAAATGGGTGCTTGTGGCCACTGTAATGTTTAGGTAGCACACTTGGGACTTCAGAATGGAAGATTTGCTGTTTGCATTCCAGGCATAGCCTTGTCTTTTTTTTTTTTTTTAAACAATAGCTCAATAGCTTTGATCATGGACCAGGAAATCTTATTTTCTTAGCTTTTCACATTGGCATTGGTTTATACAGTTGTTGGAAATCATTAAATTCTGAATGTATATTTGTCTTGATTTCCACTGGGTTTCACAGATTGACAGAATATCCTGTATTGGAAGGGGCCCGCATGGATCATCCAGTCCAGCTCTTCAGTAAATGGCCCATGTGGGGATTGATCCCACAATCTTGGTGTTATAAGTACCATGCTCTGATCAGCTGAAGTGAGTTTGCTGGTTACTGAGCACAAGCAGCAATTGATGCCTATTTTGGCTACATCCAAGCAATCTGCTGTAGTTTATGCTTTTGTACAAAATAAGCTGTCAGTTGCTTAAGCTGGCACAGTGCATCAGTGCCTGCCTAGGAATATGTTGCACACCAAGTTTGGGTCTTTTTCTAGTGTGACTAATCTAGTAGGTTATCTTCCTAAGGAACTAGAAATTATTTCCATGGGAAATGATAGGGATTCTCTTCTCTTTGTGAGAGGAAAACAAGGACATCAGAGGTAATATGAAAATGGAAGTGCTTGGTTTAAGTGGGTACATTAACAACACAACAGGTTGGCCTAGATTATGCACTCTACTACTGTATTTTAAAACCTGAACTGAGCAGTTCTAAAAAAAATCAGCTTTTAGTTTGACGAGATCGGAGATGACTATATGAGACTAAGTATTGACTGGAGTAGTAGTCTGGGTTTTTTAGGGCTGAAGTGTATACAGCTTTATTTTATTACACTGGACACAATAGTTGTGAAACAGCTTCAGATTACCATGTAATGACCTTTGTAAAAGATTTTAAAAAAGAGTGTAATTTTTCAAATTTGGAAGGCTAATCTTCAATTACTTCCTTAGTCTCCTCATCTTTGGTACCATAATTTCTATAAAAGAAGTTAGGCAATATCCTGTATTAGTTGGGTAATATCCCATGTTTCTCAGTGCAAAAATCCATTACTTCTTACTACACAGCCAGGGCCTTTGCATGTGGTTAGGATATATAGTTTCATGGTGAAGTTGGGTAGATTACAAAGCTTGTGTAACCTCTGGAACAGCTTCTTGAGCTAATACATATTGTCCAAAAATGTTGCTCATGTGGCTTGGATGCTGAGTTCTTTTTTTTTTTATATTCTTATATAAGGTTCAGCAAAGATGTGTTTTCCACCTTCCTTGACTGAAGAAACCAGAATGTAGACAGTGATATGACAGTGTTTTTATTTTCGCTGAAAAATCTGTGTTTGCAATAAGTCAGGAAAGCAGAACAAAACAAAAATATTTCTCAAAAGTAAATATGGTAATGCCTCTTCTTAAACCAAGGAAAAGCAGTGGTTGCATGTACCAATACTCCTCCCTTTTTTCAAGAAAAAAAGAGCATGAAGACTGCTCTTGCCCTTTGGGCAAGAATCAGAAGGAAACATTTGTGCAACTTTCTCTAGAAATTCTTCTCACCAACTACTTCTACTTCATGTAAAAGAGTGCTACTTTGCCTTTTTGCCAAAGATGTGTTGCCATGACATATGCTACATGTTTAATAAGGGTCCTAACACTGAGAGACTGTTTCATGCTAGCAAATGGAACAGGATACCAAATATCTGTGCCTTACAGTACAAATTTCCACAAAGCAGTGAAATCCACATTTACACATGTGATTTATCTGAAGCTGATAGACGTGTAGGAAGGAAAGGAACTATTTGGCATCTTTATTCCTCTCCTTGATGCCAAGAGTGTGGGTTGGAGAAGGAGGAAAAGCAAACTAATGAAACTGACTTTTTCCCTTACCTCTGATGTATAACAGGGAGATAGAAGAGGACAGGAATTGTAAATTGCTGCTATTTATTTTTTGTTAACAAAGTGAAATGGGAGCAGCTAAAAATGAGTTCCCATTGTATCCGATCTCTGTATAAACACAGCATAATATAGTGCCAGGCTGAATGAATTTACAGTCAAAAAAGAAATTAAATCCAGCAGGGGAAAGTAAATCACATGATAACATCAATGCAGGTTTATGGGGAAAAAAATGTTTTCACTACTTCTGAAATGAAGGGAAACAGGGAAAAATATAAGGGGGCCTGAAAGTTGTCTCTTCCTCTTAGTTAGCCAAATGGTGGTGTGACCAAAGGCACAAACTGACCATAAAGGCACAGTTGTTTCCAGGTTCCTGTTGTGAAATAAAACTGTATCAGGGAAAATAAAAAGGTTCCTTTCATCACTTGCAATATAACTAGGATAATTCCCTGTAATCCATCCTCTTTAAAATGTAGGATTACATTAGCTGCGGACCATGTGAAAGCTCTCAGTAGAAGTGGGTTGACAAAAAATAATTTAAAAAATGTTTCCAAGGTGTGCAGGAAGATTAAAAACTATTATTGTCCGTCCTACATTTTTTGAGTAGAACAGAAGAAAATACAGTTGCTGCAAGGACCAAAATCAGTTCTGGACAGGAATAAAAACTATTCCTTTCTGTTGGATAACAAAATGCAAATAATTAATTCTGTAGACCCTTCCAGAGTAACTGAAGTACCTGCTGCAATGAAGGTAACAGTGCAAAACACATATCTTACCCTCGATTTGATTTAAACCATGATGCTTTCCTTTGTTAACAAGAAATGGTGCCTGAAGTACTCATCTAACACAGTTAAAGCTTTAGGGCTTCAGGT